GACAACCTTATCCCAAATCTGTATTCAAGGGTCGCATTTGTCTGAACTGAACCAGGTCGTAAAGGGTCCCAAATGTCTTGTCACAGAAGGGTGGTATTTGGAGGGGACCCCTTTGAATCCTGCATGCTTTCACTCTGGCCAGAAGAACTGCAATAGGAAGGATCATGAACATGATTATGTGTCCAGTGCCGAAAAACTGCCGGGATTCATGGGGTCGTATTGTGGGACTACAGTGTTCTTGTGTGGTGCTTGTAAAACCTTGACTTGTTGCAGCACATGTGGTAACATTTGCATGTTGCCGTTTCTGGGTGTTTTATTCCGGAAAAGCGGCATGCACATACGCCGGACCCTCCACGGTATTCGTGTGGAAACCAGCATTGGCAACTTCGCTGGCAACTCTTCAATGGAGCTGCCGTCTTTCTCGGATCTGGAGAGGGGGCATCCTGTTCTCCCGGGTAACTAGTTGGTAAGGGAAAAGGACCAAATTAGGGAGTTCTTCCCCAGCCCCGGTCCAGAAAGCCAGGCAAACGGTGTGCCTGTTGGTTTTGTACCGCTTTCTGCAGGTCATAGCGCAAACAAACAGAACTTGCAGCCTAGGCTCAGTAAAACGCACAAAGAAACTGTATGCTGACCTGCAACAAACTCGAGAAAACTGGCACAAAAAGCAACAACAAATGAGGGTTCGTCAATATTCCTGGCCCCCAAATGACCATGTGCAGCTTTTCCCATTTAGAGGGAACCACCATCTTTTTAGTGGTTTCCCCAAGGTCATCCCAATCGGACCATTTGATCAACCCCCAAACACACAAACCAGCGGCCCTCGGCTGGAGGCTAGCAGCATCAAACCTAAACCTTTTCGTCAGGGCGTTGGCGTTGATTGCTTTGTGCTATGTTTTCGGCTTCCGGGTTTCCTAGACTGGGCTACTGTCCCTGACAGTAACTGTTTGCACTTCATGATTTGGAAACCCATGTTGCAAAGGCTATTGTTAATTGTTTGATTTAACTATGACAGAAAACGGCAACGCTCCTGATCAAGACGTATTCCGGGTATAGATACGAGAGCTATATTCTACAAACATATGTTAGCTATATGCTGGAACAGTGCAAAGTTCATCCGACAATTGTACTCCGCACGTACTGCAAATCGGATTGAATCGTGAACTGGCTAAAGTAATCATACGTAAGAACACTCTAGATCCATATTAACAGCTGATTCACGTGCATTTAACATAACTTACGCCTTACATAGGACACCAAAATAGAAACCGAATGAAGCTTAGCACCAATAGTCACACAATGCGCACAACTAAACACAAGCTGGAGGAGCTAAGTACCCTCTAAATAGTAGCTGCATCTTATTATTTACTCCTCTGACCCTCGTCTACCCCCGGACCCCGATTTGCTAGAGGGCCTATGCTGGGAATATAAAATGAAGCACAATCGCAGCGATCGCCTAGGATTGCAATGTCTACGTCCCATCAGCTACACTCGCCCAATCAAATCACGCTGTCTACCACAAATACGTGCCTCGAAGCACAAACTCGAACCCATTCCTGGACCTCCATTTGCCTCAGTCCAGTGGAACGAACAAAACTTATGTCCAGTGGTCCAGTGGCGGTATAGATTACATCTTCAACAGGGAAATAATGAAAGACATAGTCATTTCAGCAGATGCAAGTAGATCACCCTAGTTACCTGTTCATTCATCGAGTACCAGGCACTTTGCGCCTGCCACTTCTGATCGTCCACGGGGAAGAACAGCCCGTGCTCGGGGTTCCTGGGATCATCCAAAGCCAGTTGGCCAGCACTCAGCACGTTCACCTCCAGCCGCTCGCCGGAAGGAAGGACCTTGCCGAGAGGCGTTTGTCGCCAAATCGAACATGAAAACGGTGCACCGGAAAACAAAACAAACGTCAAGCCCACAAGGGAGCTTACCACTGCCAGTGTTGCACAACACCCTTTTCTGTACCAAAGTGTCCCATCCAAATGACTCAACTATTAAGGGGGTCCCCTTGGCGCACACAGTGGCAACCTCACATTTTCCACCGGGTATGACAGCTTGCCGAAAACGACGCTGCAAGTCCTAGGTTCACTTTATCTCAAAACATCACCCCACCAAAAGAACCCTCGCTTTGCATTTTCCAGCTTGTCATGTGTAAAACCGTCCGAACACAAGGCTCCCAATATGTCCATCGCCCCACCTCCCTCTCTGGGCGAGTTTTAGAGGACAATCGCTTGACCCTTCCTATCGCCGATTTGGTAGTTGGGTATCCTTTTTAGGTGCCCTGTCCATGGTGGTGGCTATCCCATTCCATTGTTCTAGTCCCGCACAAGTCGGCGCATACCCGGAAGTCGCTGCGCTTGAGGCAAGAAGCCAAGGGTGTTCTGCAGAAGAGCGCCATGTTGGGCATCGGCTGCGAACTGTAAGAGCTGTACCTGAGGCCAAAATCCCTCTGCTACTCCCCTACAAAGAAACACGGAACCCAGCAAACACTCATTTGTAGAGAAACAATCCTCTTGGGGGAGCCGCCTTTTTTGGCTCCATGTTAATTTGCAGGGGAGGTACCTCATTTTGACATGGTCTCCCGGGGCTTCTTGCTACTGAGAAGCACTGGCAGAGACAAATGAACCAAGCAAGGAACCTCCAGCCAAACAGAAGTCCCCCCTCACAATTGAGGTACGTTGCACGGATTTGCAGGGCTGGTGTGCGGATGGGTGGGGTGCGGGGAGGCATTTTGAACACGTGTGATTAACAAGTGCTTTTAACAACTGCTGGAGAACCGCGTTGAGAAGTGGTCACCGTTTAGTACCCTTTGATACTTTGATGCTGGCGCATCTTTTAAAGGGGATCTCTTTCTATCGGCCACCATTCGAGTGGCATTCTTGAACTCACGTTGCCCCTACCCTCCATAAACCCACCCCAAAGCCAAACCCCGCTAACCCCTGTCAACCCCGTCAACCGCGTCAACCCCAACCCTGTCAACCTCATTTGGGTGTGTCATTTTTCGAGGGTACCTGCTGTTGGTGGTTTTGAAGCAAACCCAAAGGAAAGCCAAAGTCATTTGGGGCAGTAGCTTCTGATCGCGCCCTCCACCCCAAAACCAAACCGAGTGGCCCAGCGGTCGAAGCTGTCGAAGCGGTCGAAGCATCGCGTTGTGGAGCTTCGAGCAGCGCTTCTACTCGAGCTCTGTCGCCATGGAAGAAAACCACCTAGCCCCGTGACGTGAATCAACCCAGGACGCCTTTTTTGTGAATTTCGAAAGGAAAACAACCTTTTTGAGGTGTCCCCGATTCTGAGGCAAACCTGGCTTGTTAGGGCTGTGCAACCCGTTTTGGAGGGCATCGTATTCTTTTTGGGAGGAAACGTTTAGGGGGGTCAATTTGGGGATCTGCTTTTCATTTAGGGATGATCTTTTTTGGAACCATTTTGAGAGGTCCCCGATTTTGAATCAAGCGCCACAAAAAGCCTGGATTTGGGGTGTGCAAACCCATTTAAGAGCTTGATGTTCTCCATCTTTCTTTCGTTGCATTTTTTTTTGGGGGGGAGGAGAGGGTAGGTTGCTTTTCTTTGATTGGTCGCAAGGAAACCAGCTATTTTGAGTCCTCCTCCCAACTTCTTTTTCCTCACAATCCGCCAGGCGTGCTAAAGGTTTCGGGAACAAATCGCCATAGACCTCCAGACCTCCATGCTACAAAGGTACCCAAGGTCCCTGAAAGAATCCCACTGGTTGCCCTTTCAGCCGTCAAAGATCACTTTTGACTTGACCCAAGGACGCATGACACGGCCGGAGGCTCGCTCTCTGTACGGGAAACACTTTGGATGGAAATGGCTTCTGCTTGGTGCCCCCAGGCAACCCTCCTATATTTATGGTCCAAAATTGGTGGTGACACTAGCACCCCGCGCTGCTCTGCTCTGAGGTTGGGGGAGGCTTGGTTTGCTGTGGAAGATGGCTTCCACTACCTCGAAACCACTACCCCCACAGGAAAATGGGTACTCTCTTTATGTAGTGCTATATTATAGTGGTTGTATATTCCGTTAAACCCCTGGAGGCAGTGGTTTGGGGGTGGTGGAAACCATCTAAGCTGGCTTACAGGCACAGACTACGCTTTTTGCTGGTTCATCTTCAGTGGATCCGCGTGTCCTCAGCTAGGGAAAGCAAACATGTGATGGCATGGTTTCAAAACAAAGCAAACTCAGCAAAAAACAACGGGCCCCACCCATGTTGGGATGACAAAACAGAAAGGATCAAAACAAACTAGCGATGGAAAAACTCCGCATAAAACAGTAGACAGGTCAAAGGAGCAAGCCCAGCTCAAAGGAGGGGGCCCCTGTGTTTGGACAACAGCGCTACGAAAGTTTCAAAATGGGTAGGCCGAAAACAGAATCAAACAAATACTGATATCAAAGCACAAGGCTGAACCCACCAAACAAAAAGGCTCCATCGAATAAGTCCCACCTTCCCAACAGAACGCCGGAACCCCAGAGACCCCCAAGCTTTCAGCTGAAAGGCGATCAGGTAGGGATCCCAAGCTTAGAGGCTTAGAGCCCGCAGCTGAGGTAGTGCTCCCCGTCTCTTGGTAGCAACAATGAATCCACGCCCGGACAAGATTACTGGTTTCTCCGAGACAACATAGGTGAAAACGGGGTCCCCTGGTGTGTGTGGGAAATTTGGGCGGGCAGTGGACCCTGCTTGCTTCAGTTGCTCAAGTGAGTAAGAATCAAAACCTGGCAAGATCAGGTAAGGCATCACAATGGCAGATATCCGGACCTCATGGTTGGGGCAGTTGTTTCACCCGCATGTTGTTTTGTGCTGCCAGGGAAGTGCGTTTGGACACCCGGCCATTCAACTCCTCCCAAGGGGCCCTTGGGCCCCGGGCGGCGGTTTTCGCGTGCTGCGCCAAACTCCCGGCCCTCAGCTCTTCTAGAGCCCAGGGCCCCACGCCTGCGAGTGAAGTGAAGCTGAACCCTTAGGCCTGCAGAAAAACACTTCATTCCACTTTCAGGCTTTCAGGTTCAACGGAACTCGGTAGTTAACTTTCGATGTTCAGGAGAAACGACGGTTCATTCCAATTTCCGGAGTGAACGGAGTGAACGATCAAGGGAATGTGGTAACTACCTTTAAAGGGATTGCGGTAGTAGAAGTATTGGGAGCTTGATGGAGCTTGCCTTACACCCAGTTTTGGTAGTCACTTTAAAGGGACACATCATAGGCAGCTGTCCTCTTTCAAACAATTGCTGGTGCTCACTGCGGGAACCAAGAGGATTTTAAGACTTCATCTGGGGAGTCCTTAAATGCAGTCACAAGTTGGATGGTTCATAGGGGTTATTCATTCCCTCTTTCCCTGAGAACCAGCAAGTCATAGAAGTGCAAAGAAGGACCTCTTTGAGATGACTAGTTTTCCAAACCCTTCAATGATGTTTAAGGGAATCTTCTTGTGGCCCCTGTTTTGGTGCCAGCTAACTACTTGAGTTGCCTGACGCTCAACGGCGCTTCGGAAGTGTCCGACTCCGCCTCGATAAAGAATTGCAACGGGGCATTTGAGCCCTTTGATTAGTTGGGAGTAACAGACGCAGTGTAGACAACACGCATAGAAGACACACCCCGAGCTCGAAGGCCCCAATCAAGGATGTCAAAATAATTTAAATCCAACCGAAAGGAGTGCTACAAGGGTGAATCAAACTCACAGGCCAAAATAAAGCAACCCCCACAAACGAACCTGCATGGGTCGCAAAACCCTGAAGTATTAACTGTTTGAGTTGTTTGGATTCGGAAGGTCCTGAATTCGACGGGCAGTGTCATAGTTGATACGTCACGGCATGTTCCCCGGCCAAGGAGCACCCTTTGAATGCTTGATGGTTTCGAATCCTTGCCGGACCATCCCTTGCAACCCCTAGTCTTGACATGGGTGATTCATAGCGTACCACCAAAAATAGGGAATCCCTGATAGACTGATGGACAAAGTCCTGCACCTGCTGGGGGATGGATGAAATCCGATGAAAACTGGGATAAACAAGCTACCAACTGGTCCAGAGTGTTGTCCATCCGCAGTGAGAAAGGGAAAGGTTGTCACGGCTGTCGCACACCCTCCGTAGGTGAGGTTGCTAATACCGACCTTGGATTAATGAACCTGGCAGAGTCGTTCATTCTTGCTCCCAAACAAGTCCAGACACGTGCAGGATTCCCCCCTGAATGAGAACACCCGTATTCATGAAGCAGGGTCTTCTTGATCCTAGGCTCCTACTATACTTTCCCTTAGCGTTTCTTATGCGTCTCCTTTAAGCCTCGCCCTACCAAAAGAAAATAAACCTCAAATTGGTCGAGCCGGTAATGCTCAAATCGCCCGAAGGGGACATTGGAGACCCCACCAAATTCGTGGCTTTCTGTTGCTCTCGTTGTACATCCAAAAGGGCTTCCACTCAAAAAAGGGCAACACCCACAAGACCCACATTGTAACCTCCATCCGCTTGTCCCTGGCAAAAATGAGGTTCGGAAATACGTCCGGTGATAGTTTCGCTGTCAAACAAGAAGGGGAAGAAACGAACATCCGAAACCGAAACGCAAATGCAAGATCACATTCCGTGGCGATCGAAAGCTTGAGTTGTGCCTGGGCTGAGCTGGAGGGCCCGCTGGTGACATTCCTCCCAACCTTCGGCCAGTCAACTTCCAGCTTCCCAATCGATGGCAAAGGGTGCTTCTCAACGGAAAGCCTCCGAGAGAATCATACGTTTCTCCAGAGACAAAGTTGTTTCTCCAAAGGCAAGCCGCGCACCAATGTTTGAACATAAATTCGCATCAAGTACAGGCCATGCACAACTGACTTCTCAAACCTTGCCAGTTTTCCACCAACTGTCTCAGGATTCCTGCTGCACTGCGAGGGCTTTGCGTCCAAATTGTGGCTGATGCTGGGTGCAAACAACTCTTGCGCGTGGAGTATCATCTACAGTTGTGTCCCTCAACGAGACAGCCCTCCCAGTCATTCGCTCGGATCAAGCGGACCTGAGGCGGTGTAATTTTGACTCATGCCCAGTTGTGTAAGCTGGAGCAGCACCTTTCAGCTGTTCTCTTGGATGAGCTACTAGATGATTTAAGTTGTGCATTGAGCTAATAAGCTTACCTAGACAAAGCGCTCAAGCATTGGCACGAGGCATCAACATGGCAAGCATCTTCTGATGCCAGAAGAAGGACATTGCACTATAATAATGCTGAGTAGCTTCAGCGTAATTGCTTCTTGTGCTGTGAGAGCATCTCTTGCTCGTCAACTATCCAGCGATGGTGATTACAGCAAAGTGGGAAAATCTCAAGGAACTCGATGGTTATACTCCAATGGATGAATGCAATCATACTGTGGAGTATAACCATCAATGTCATCAAGTTCCGTTGCCCCATCTTGCTGTCACGTAGCACTTCAGCGGTTCAAGTCAAAGGGGGCGACCCCAGTCTATGAATTTGGCAAATCCAAGAAAAGGAAGTAATCGACCTTTGAAAATCACGGGCTTCAGGAAAAGGACCGCTGCCAGCTTCCATGAGGCGACAAACCTGGGCCCCGCGGCCTTCCCCACCCAGGATGGGTTTTAGAACCTTCTCCAGGCTTAGAAGGGGTTCTCAAAAAGGTTCCTAGCGAACCTTCCTGCTTGGGTGGCTCCAATGCTTCTCTCCGTGCTTGTGGGAAAAAAGGGGTAGCTTCATTATTGGCCTGGGCTATGCCACTTGAAGGTTGCACCTGACAAACAGATCTTGCCCACTTGAGCATATTCTGGAAGCCAACCAATAAAGGGCGCTCCCACAAATGGGTATGTGTTTTTTGGGTTACCATCTAATCTCCAAAAGGAGATTCCTCTGGAAACAATATTTTGGTGGGCTCCATTTTAGCCTGCTGGGGAGTCAGACTGTCTTATCAAAAGCACATGGAAGGGCAGGGAGGGTAAACGCACCATGTGCTTTGAGCTTGGTGTGCATGTTGATTCAGGGCTCCCTGGATCTCTCCTTGAAACATCACCGCACTTAAAGGAGACGTGTCAAATTGGAGAATCCAAAAAAAGTGATGGGTGTTTGTTTTTTTTATTCCAACCCCAAAAAGAGTACCTCAAAGAACAAAAAAACCACACCCATTGAAATCAGCTGATGAAAGGCACTCCATGAAAACTGAAAGATGTAAGGCCACCAAAGGAAACACTTTCAAAGTGGGAGCTTCCGTGGAATCGTTTTCCTGGGGAAGGGTACTGGGGCCGAAATACTCAGAAAGGGTGGTCTGGGGGACTTTAAAAGCAAGTCAAGGCATGATGATAAGACATGTTTGTTTAACTATCCAGAAAAAAAACAGTTAAATACTTCTGGGCCAATATTAGCCACCCAAAAATCTACAAATTGCACTATAATTCCCAAAATATGATTGAAGAATTGGGATCTCCAAAGGACCTTCATGAGCTCGTCATATTTCGTCAGCCCAGCCTCTCGGGCTGAAAGTTCGCCCGGCCTCGCAAACGGACCATCCCGATTCCCGCAAGAACTCCCCGGCTGGTGCTCGATGGGAAGACAACGAGTCCGGGTGTTGGGAAAATGACCCGTTTTTCGGATTCCCGGGTAAAGGAAACCGCCAGTTGGATGATTTTTGCAGGGGTCATTTGATTTCTCATTCCCTGCTGAGCACCGGCAAGACTACCCATGGGATGTGGTAAATGAGCCAACCTGTCTGTGGCCTTGTTCAATAGCTGCTCGGTCACTTTCAAGGGGGTTGTTCGGATATCACAGAGACTCATTGATTGCCAAACTCTCATGTTCAACTTCGAGGTACTCCCACAGCGGAGCATGGAGCTAATGCAGCCAATTCTACCCTGAGATCGCCCGGCACTCACCATGCAAGCTGCCTTCTTATCCAAGTGCGCAGCAGTTTGTGTATCTCAAGTTGTACTAGTGTTTTTGCCATGAGAGCAGCACTGGCATGAGTCTGCAATGGATCATATCCAAACCTAAGAACTCTCCATGCAATAATCCTTCGTGCACTCATTTGAATTACCAGGCTGCAATAAGTGAGGCAATCAGTCTAGAAACGGCTTGGATGCGCTTTTTTGTGGGCTTCACCGGGTTTTGCCCCTGTTGGTTCTTTTTCAGGAAACTATTTTAGCACTATTTTCATATTCTACAGGGGTGAATCCACAAACAAAGCCACGTCCAAACAGTTATCTTGAATTAGGTCCCAACTTGAACCTCTTCCAGCCTGCAAGGTGCCTGGAAGATTCTACTTGAGGTTGAACTTAAAAAACGGACCAAACAGGGGAAACCCAAAGGTCCAAAGGTTGGCTGGTGAGCACACTTTCACACTTTTCTTGTGTCTGAGATCAGTAGCTCTTTTGGCAAAGGAGGCTAAGATCAGTTTCCTCTGAAGGTACTATTGGCAACTTGGCAGGGGCCACAAAATTCTGCCTCTCTCAGCTATGCCCATCTGACTTCTGATTGGGTGAATCCTAGATACAGCTGCAGATCTCCTGGCTCCCTCTGTCGACCAAAGGTGAAAGAAGCCTCGATGAATCTAAAAGTTTGTGCAAAAGGGGGCTGCCACTCAAGGATGAAAAACTGTTTCTTTGTTCTTTTCTTTTTCCGCATCAGACTGCCCCGAGACAATGACTTCAAGGGCCTCTAGGCACACCATGTCTCTTATACAAACCATAGCTATCCATGTCAAACCTGTTTGGTTGGTACATGGCACAGGGCATGGCTTCCCAGCCAATTGGGGGGTTTTAGGACCCCAGCCCGCACAAATGCCCTTGGTGGAACGTAGGAATACGCGAACAGTGGATCTCAGTGCTGCGAATGGCTTGACATAAACAAACACAAATGAAGTATTCAACGGTGACCAACAACTTGGTCTGCTTGTATCAATTGGTCAGAAGCCACGTACACCGCAAGAGTCAACATCCACCAGCACCAAAAGCACGCTATCTGAACAAGGACTCCCCAAAGCTTCTAAACCGAAGTTATAAATGACTCATGTCTTCCCTCCCTCATTTGTAGGTCTCCTTGGTTCTCAATGCTGCCGTCATGAAATCTGTGACAGTCACCATGACAGCAGGGTGGCAAGCATGTCTCCTACAATGGCCATACACATGGAATCACAAAAAACAACTCCAAACCAGTGAGGAATCACAACACAGGTGCAAGGGACCGACCCTCCTAACATGGAACCCGCAAAGGCGGGGGCGGGGATATCCCATGAGGAGCTTCCTCTAGATGACCTGCTTTTTGGGGGTTCCACAATCCGCAGGGGACTTTTTGCCCAAGCTTTATTTTCCTCCATTTGCGGACAGGTTTCCTGGAGAAAAAAAACAACAACATTTCCGCTGGTGATAGACTCCCTTGTCCACCCGTTGCCAGCGTCGGACGCAGTCACTTTCCAGCCTCCCGGAGGCTTTGCAGCCTGGCGGTCGCTCTCTCAAAGGGCAACACATGTTCGCGTTTTGCAGGTCCGTATGGGGATGGTTTCAACGGGAAAACCACAAGGGAAACCATTCTTGGGGCACCATATTTTGACATGACCATCCCTACCAACCCCAAGTAAGGGGTCCGTTGAAAACCCGACCCGAGACACCCTCAAGCGATGTCTCTGGATGATCGGTTAGGGAACCCCTGTACTTCTTCCGCCTGTTGCGGGCCACAAACGCTCCAGATGTGTGGTGTGGATTTCAGAAAAGTGGACATCGTGGGTGTCTAGCTGGACCGTTTTGGAGGAAATAGCACCTCATTTGGAGACAACCCCATGCCAATCAAAGTCTACCTATCAGAAAAGTGCCCCATGCCTCGCCTGAGAAAGCCCAATGCTGACATCTGATGATTCTCATGATGCATCCTCGCGCCTTCCAAGAACATGTGGGTGTGTGTCAAAAATAGGACAGCCAGCTAGGTTGCTGGTTACCTGGGAAAAGGCAAGGGAACAAGACACCGTCACACGCACAAACATGTCACTTCAAGCATCTGGCATCCAATGGTGACCAAGTGAAAAAGGGTTGTGTCTTGTGGAGAGACTCCTGCAGGGTGTATGTTTACAGCTACTGAGCTATTGGTGTTTTTCCCGAGGGCGGCCTTTTGAAGGATGGTTTAAAGGGAAACCAAGCATAAACCACCATCAATTAATTTTGTGGGGGGTCTCTCTATGTACCCAAATGTCTAACGTCACTGTTGCATAAACACGTTCTGTTGACTGGGCCGTATCATGGCAAAGCTAGAGGCTGAGATCTGCAGAAAGAGGATCAATCTGCCTAGCACCCAACGTGGGGCCCGCTGAATTCTCCAGCCAAATGAGACTAAGGCACCTTCCTGGGGCCCGAGCTGGTGATGAGTTGACAGCCCGTTACCTCCCAATTCCTTAACATGGGGCGCAAAAAAGGGGGGTCACCCAACAGGCGGCTCCAGTAAACACTTCTTCTTCCTTTTTGGAGCTTGTGCCTCTGAAGCCGAACACAGGCCAGGGCAGCCAGTGATCCGTCTTGTGCCAGAGCTTGCCCCCGACATCCTTCACCTTCTCAGCAGCCTGGCAAGCTGAGTCGCCACACTGATCAGCGTCGCCGGTTTTATTCCATGTACCCTCGCTAAAGGTTCAAAATCCCCAGCATCTAAGCCACCCACCAATTGGGGGCAGCCCCTGAACTGAGGGCTTCAGTCTTGGGGCTGACAACGTCTTGTCCAAGCCACAGCTCCCTCAGATTCTCGGCTGAACCCGTCTCGGTCGCCTTCTTGCCTCCAGCTTTCAGGTCCTTCGGGTCGCAATCCGAGACTTGATGAGGCTTCCAGGCCGAATAAGGCTAGCACAAGGCCAGGCTCTTGTTGGTTTGGGGGGCCCTGTCGGCGGGGGTTCCTGGAACGTTTGCTGCCAAGGCTTGAGACTGGTTGATGGGCAAGGAAGATTGTGGAGGAAGCCTTCTCAATCTTCGCATCATGTACTGAACCGGGGATAATTATAAACAATCATGATCATGTTGCTGTCATTGTTGGCATCATGGTCTAAGCCCAGGTAGGCAGGTAAGCATGCTTCTCGAAGATCCTTCCAGCGCTTGACAAATAATCCAAGTTCCTCTTGAAACGTGTATGACAACCCTGATAACCACCCAGTTCCAGGAATTGTGCAAATACAACATCTGTGGTCCGCACACATCCGCGCATCTTATCTGGCCACGAAGGATGTATCATGAGCGTGGATCACGCAATGCTGCGAAGAACATGTACAGCAAACCCCTCGTTGGTCCACTTTTTAGATTAGAACCACAATCCGGCCATTTCCTCGTCTGCTTCCTCAGCTGCGGCAACACGGTGAGCGCGGTCCTCGACTTTCCCCTTGAGCTGGTGCAAGTCGGCCTCCTGGGATGTGCATTGTCTCGTCAAACCAAGAAACAAGCACACGGGAATGCATCATCCGCTTGGAAGCTGACTGTGGCTCAGATGCCCAGTGGCCATGGGAAAAAAGGGGGCATCCTTTTTTGGTTGGTTGACTTTAAATTTCCCATTAGCTTCCCTCAGTGCAACCCCGAAAAGGGTACCCACCGCAAAACAAAACGCACCCACGATGAAGGAAGAAACGGTGTCCCCTCCAAGACTCAGCAGCCATCAAACCAATCAAGACTGTGAACAAACTGTTTTTCTGCGCGCCCTTTCGGTTGGTCAAAAACCCAAAGGAAACCAAACATATTTCAGAACCATACCTTGACAGCGGAATGCACTAGCAGCCCCCAAAGTAAGCGGATCCTCTCAACAATGCGACAGCCCCTTGATCAAACACCAGTTTATTTGGGTAAGTCACCATACTACACACCTCTACAAAAGTAGCCTTCTATTGCAAACCGAAGCCCTTAGGTCCCTATCACTTGCCCAGAACTTGTTCAACCAAAGGAGCCCCCTCCCAGAAACAAATCACGCTCCCATGCAGCGAGCGGCGGATAAGAAGCTCTTTGGCTTCTCTGCCCCTGCGCGCGGCGATTGATGCAAAGCCTCCATGCCATCCTTCCAAGATACTATCCCCAAAGCACTACTACCAGCGAAATGTCGGGATACAATAGCATTATGTAGCGGATATGTATGCACGTTCATCCATGCCCGCCACCCTGTGCTCAAGCCCAACGGGCCTGTGGAATCGTCGCCATCAGCAGACCTTGTTGACGCAATTGAGCGGATCAACGTCGAAATACCCATCGGTGTCAACACCCTTTTTGCAAACTGCAGGATAATATGTCCAATTTTGCACTCTACTGCACCAACGTTTACTATCGGATGGATCAACCGCATACCCCTGGAATAGGCGACGCTGTTTATCCCTCTATCTGTGTATATATATATATATATCTAAATACATATATAAGCATGCAGGATGTATATATTCTGTCTCTTGTGAACATGGCGTGTATATAGGCCACATAGGGCACCTTCCCCTGGGTACGTGATTCCAATGGAAAGGCCGCGCCTCTGCTGATCGGATTCCTGCGAGCATGGCAGTGGGCCTCCAGAAAAGAACTCCGTGCTGAAAATGCCGTCGAAACAGAAATGGGTTTGTCCTGCAAACAGCGGATGCCAGGTTTCCCTTTGCGGTCTCTTCAAGGACCCAACAAAGGGATTTGACTACAGATGTTGATGACTGTTCTGGATAGTCATGGTCAAAGGGGCAGCTCGCTGCATGATGGGCTCAGATGTGCAGAATTTCACGGATATACAGAATCGCAAATAATGATCAGCACCTACAAAGGGACACCTACGTGACGCGCGCGCCTCTCGTGCAAAGACTTTCCGTGTCTGTTGGCCCAACCTGGCAAGTGGCAGCGGGCAAATAGAGCCTCTCTCCAAAAATTGGACTGATGGGCGTGGATGGACGAAACAAATCCACTGCACACCAGTTGGAATGTGGTGTATCCCGGCATTTATTGGGGTTCATGTGGTTTCACGCGTCCCAAGTGGTGCAGCAGTTCGTCCATCCACTTAGCAGTATGCCAAGAGTCAAAAATCCTTTTCTGAGCCTTGGTGATGGTTCCCAGAAGAAAAACCCTTGCAGCGGTTTCATAATGAAGGATCCATAACTATCCATATTAACGCCAAGTAAAAGGGTGTTTTGATCATGGTTTTGGACAAGCTGCTAAATGTGTGCATGTTTATTATTGACCCTTTCGGAAGTCGTTTGAAAGGAAAGCTAGGGACAATTACCCATTTAGGAATTCCGACCTCCCCCCCCCCCCCCAATTTTGGAGACAAACCCATTTAGGTCCAGGTGCCTTCAGAAAGCTATCACCAATCGACGCTGTCACAATCTGGTAAACTGACTATTGCGTCACACAGCCAATGATTGTCAGCATTGGCGACCACAAAGGCATGGTGCCATCGTCAAGCAAGCCTTCCAATGTGCAACATGCATTACTCGATTTAACCTGGGAATTCAAAAAAGAGGACCCCCAATGCTGAAAGCTGGCTTCGATACGGAAACCACTCATTCCTTTGGGGGCCCCGTTTTGGGAAGCACGCACATGGTAACAACTCGTAGACATGCGTGTCAGCCATAAGCTTTGCAGCACATCATGACGCATGGTCGCCTCTCTGTGCCCTTGTTGTTGGATGCTTCGCGCCGTGTTAAACTTGTGTTTTTGTTTGCGTGCACAAAGCCTCATAAGACATCCTGCTTACAGAACTTGCTGGTTATCAGTATCTCAGTAGTGAATCAAGAGGAGTTTCAGGACTGTGCTGTTTGGACTCCCCTTAAATCAAGCGAGAACAAATGGATGGTTCAGATTCGGGTCCTTCGTTATGCCCTCCTTTCCCGCAAATTCGAATTCTGCCGTAAGATTCGTTTGGGCCTCTCTCGGAGAGCGCCAGTATCCTGTACAGTGAGCCGCACACCCTCCTTGACGCCGTCCTGGAATCGCAAAATGCCTTAAAGGACCTGGGGATTCATAGGCTTCCCCTCCTACCTTGGAAGCTGACTGGCTTCTGAGAGGATTGTGGTCTTTTAGGGACCTCGCAGGTTCGGTGAATACCCTCCGACGGCGGAAGCAGCGGTTGTTTAATGAGACTTTCCTCTTTGGAAGCCAAGGGGTGGCCTTTGGGAGCTTAGGGGGACTTGACGGGAACCGCGATGAAAGGCAACAAGTCAAAGGGTCGGCTTTGAAGCGAGGCTGTCAACGCGGGGTATCCATAAGACAGGATGCCCCAATGCCGGGGGGGGGGGGGTAAACAACATCCCCGTGCCGATTTTTTAGTCAGCTCAAGTTGTAAACGTGACCAAGGGAAACACAGATTGAAAACCAAAAGCACAATTGTCGCACGTCCTGTTGATTGGCCGGAGAAAGTCTAAATTGTTTGTTTCACTAGAAATGGTTTTCCGCAAACGTTTCAAGTCCAAGAACTCAGGGAGTGAGTGGTTGCTTACATACTATCCTACTATCTGGGAGACTGGGACTGGGGTGCCTTTACAGCCAGCGGGAAGCTTTGCCCGTCCAAAGCCCTTGCTTTCAAGAGCGCCAACTTCACACTAGCACATTCCTCCGCACCATTCTCACTTCCTGAGTGGATGGCTCGAAAAAAATCCAAACTTGCTATTAACCACTAACAGGGTTTTCCCAAAAAAGTGTAAAGTCGAGGAACTCGGGAAGGGAGCATTAGTTTACCACTATCAAAGCCACCGCGTAAGTGATGATAAGTTGAAGGGCACCATCTCTGACTTTGATAACCCCCCAGAGCCTCAACAAAATTGACACAAGATCAATGGCCAGATTTTGGCGAGTATAGAAGTGGCATGGACGGCCTCTCATAAAGTCGGTCCCTGCTGACCGAACTCCGATCAGCACAGTTTCGACCATGTCAGATCCAATGGCTGGATCTGGCGCTTTCCATATCGCCTGAGAGAAATATGCCCGCCTGTGTGATCCAAAGTGAGACAGCTTGCATCAGGCCTCCCACCTGTTTACAAATTCCAGTATGCATCTGGTATTTCAAACGCCAGCGGAGAAGCCTCTGAAATCCAAACAATCCATGAGGTTTGATGGGCGAGTCTTTTTTGAGGTTTGTGGTTCCAAAAGGAAACCAATTGGACAACCACCCATATTGAGGGTCCAACTTACAGGATACACCCTGATATCTGATTGCGCGACAATCGCAGTGGCGATTCTCGTTGCGCGCTTACGTCCTTCAAGTCCTGCATGTCTCTGGCCACCAGCTTGGCCTGGCGCCGGCGCTTGAGCGACTTTTTGGGAGCCCAAAGAGACCCAAGGAAAAGGGTGGTGCTTGCAGAAAAAACATGGTTGAAACCAACAGGGGGTCAGACCCAACACTACCTTCTAACGTTAAGAAGTCCCTGCCAAAAGGAAATCGATCTTCCAGGTACCTTCCCACAAATGCCTTCCGCAAGTGAGTGTTTGGAGAAACACATTAAACTGCTTTTCTGTCTAACAAAACTTGCTGTTTCTCAGCCGGGAATGAGGGAACTTCGATAGACCATTCCCTGCGGTTTCCTTCTTAAAGGATTCCCCCAAAACCGGTTCATTCCCAAACAACCCGGAAGGGTCATTCCCTACCTATATATAGCACCAGCCAGAAAACCACCCCCCCGGAAAAAAAAAAAAAAAAAAAAACCATGATAATGACAAAATGTAACCAAAAACCAGGTCTGTCTAACTGGGCCCCAAACGTGTCTCTTGCACCCGTTTCTTCGGCTCACCCTGCGCCTCGGCGCTGAAGGCCTCCTGTGTGGCACGGGAAACCGTCGGCGCTTGGATCGGTTTCAACTGGACTCGGTCCCCTGAAACGGGTTTCCTAAATGGGCCCCGAAAAGGGACGAAACACGGGCAAAGGCACGAATTCCTACCATGAAAACACAGGTTAAAGAACGAATTCGATATGTAGTGTCAATAGTTGGTGGTTTTGGATTCGGAGATTTGGAGTGATTTGACCCCCTGGTTCTTGCAAAATGGGTTTCCCCCCGTCAAGCTTCAAACCAATCCAAATCACCTTTCTTGAGGCAGGCTTAGGGGGTTCAGTTTCAATCGGAACCCAAACCTGAAGGTCATAGAGGGTCGTCTAAAAAGGGACCCTTATTCAGCTACCCTCTTGGTGGCTTGGAGTGGCTCAACGGTGGGGTAGTTTCCCATTCTCTACCAAAACCAGGGGCTCAAGTCCCCAAGCTGACAACCAAGCAAGGGTTATCTGACTAAAAAGTTTGCTTATATAAACAGTTTAAAGAAACCATGGAAGAAAACAAAAAAAACAAACACAAAACGCTCAAACTGAGAAACCCAAAGAAAACCTCGCGAAATAATCCACGGGGTTAGATAGGTCTAACCTTCCCCTTAAGACAAACCACAAAAATGTTGGTTCAACAAAAGTAGGTTTTAAGGCAAAGCAGCGGTTGAACCTAGGTTGAAACCCATGTTCAACCTTCAAGTCAGTGGCTAAACCCAGGTTGTAAGGCAAATATATTGAAGTATTGAAGGCGAAACTCGGCTTTTTTCGGGTCGACAGATGGACAAACCCTGGGCTTCAGCAGGTACCTTGGCTGCACCGGGTGCATTTTTGCTGGGCCCCCTCCCAAAAAAGTGGCATCGGTGGTCCTGTTGGTTTCCCTTTAAAACCACAAGCAAATCACTGTACCAAAAACAAACGACGAGCCACCCAGGCATGTTGTGTTGTCCAACTTGTAGCAATTCCGTTGCAGAAGGCCACAAGAAAGAGGAGATACCCGACAAAATGTTGTGTCGCCCAACTTGCCGAGTTTTTTTGAACACCACATAAGACAAACAAAGGGGATATATACCCACACAAAAAAAGAGGCAAACGACAAGCCACTCAGCCCCTTGCGGGTGAAAAGCCTCCGCCGTTTTTGCGCCCGGTGGACTGACCTTCATTTGCTGAAGTCCCCAGGAAAACATGTGAAAATAATTGCAGTAGCGAAATGGATTCCAACCTGGGGAAAATTCAAAAAACAACATTTTTTACCTTGCGGTTGAGCAGGGAATGAGACATGGAATTCGCAACGACCCCGAGATAAACCCATTTTTTCTTTTTGTGGCTTCCCGTTTTTTGGGGGACCAAAACCCAAAACCGGTTTTCGTTTTCCCCACCCGGACGCGTCAGTCTCTACCTCTCGCTCCCGGAAGAAACCGCCTTGGTCTGATGCACCGCTTGCTGGGTGGCCGCCTTCAGCTCCGTGGCCTCCGCGAATGGGGGAGCTCAGCCCGGGCTCAGCTCTGCCCCCGTTTTGGAATGGGGAAAAAACGGGATGTGTTGGGTTTTAGTGGGGAATTCGCCTAGGTTGATGACAAATGTTGTTGGTGATTTGGTGGGGAATCAGCCGGAAAGGAGAGGTTGATTATAATTCCCGCGGGGGAGTTGGGATCAAGTTGGGGTTTGGGTGGAGTTGGGGTGCCTGGATGGCTCCTAAGCCTTACCCTTTCTTTTGTGGCTTTGAAGGGACACCACAAAGAGAACCGAAGCGGGTTTCCCTTTTTTGTGGTTTTAAAGGGAAGAAGCGATGTTCCTGTTTCTTGTAGCCTTAATGGGAAACCAAAAAGAGATTGCCTGTGTGTGGCTTTAACGGGAAACCAAAAAGAACACTGCAGCGATATTCCCTTTTTGTGGTCTTTAAGGGAAACCAAAAAGAACACCAAAGCGATGTTCCTGGTATTTTTTTGTGATTTTAACGGGAAACCAAAAAGAACACTGAAGCGATGTTCCTTGTTTTGTGGCCTTACCTGGAAACCAAAAAGAACACCGAAGCGATGTTCCTGTTGTTTTTTTGTGGTGTTAACGGGAAACCACAAAGAACACTGAAGATGGTCCTTGTTTTGTGGCCTTACCGGGAAACAAAAAAGAACACCGATGCAACTTTCCTTATTTGTGGCCTCAAAGGGAAACCAAAAAGAACACTCAAGAGATTCTCCTTTTGTTTGCTTGGTCTTAACGGGAAACCCAAAAAAACACTGAAGCATACTGAAGCGCACTTTTGCCAAAAGAAAGACCCCCAATTTGCTGCTACCCTCCTCTCCACGTTGCCATGGAAGCCACCAGAGGGTTCCTTTTACAGGAAAATCGTCCTCAACCCCAGATTCCATGTCATTGGACACCCCAAAATCAAGGGGTCATGAAAATTCCCCAATTTTGCGGGCAGAAGGAGACTCCAAGTATGCCTCAACTTGGCGATCTGGGGAGTGAGGAACAATCAGCTAGCATACCAACAGGTACACTTAGCACACAATTCGAGATTTTCTTGAACATGGCCGGGCTGTTGGGGGTTCATGTGCTAACAATCCCGGAAATGACAGCTCAAGAACGTGGTGTTGGGAGTGGACAAAAGGGCTTCCGCGAAGCAGGTGCTCCTCTAAAGGGTCCCCGGAGCAAGGGATTCTCTGAAAAGAGTTCTTACAGCAGATTCCACTAAACACCGTGGTTTTTGTTTGAGGCCAAAGTTCCCCAAACAACTTCAAACTTTGGAGAAGTAACTTGAGTAAAGGTCAAACATCGTCAAGCCTTTGGATGAGTAACTTGAGTACAGGCGAAACATGAGTGAGCTCCCTGGAAATAAACTTCCCTCCCCAAGCCCACGGGGGGCCATCTGGTTTTTGGTTTGCCCCACTGCGAGCTGCGGCCTTCTGTCCCAACTTGGAAGCCCAAGAAGGCATCCGCCGGCCTGCCGAGACCCGCTGGAATTGAGTGGGATTCCCCCCTCAAACAGGGCGGACAAAACATTTCCCACCCAAAAAATGGAGCCTGACCTTTCAGGGGGTTTGGATGGAAGATGGGGAAGACCCTACAAAGATCGGACACAACATGTCCGACCAATTAACATGCAGCACTTCGACGTGACCTACAGGGTGTCATGGTGTTTGGACCATTTTCCTTGTAAGTAAAGGGACCGGGGCCCGACCGTCAGGTTCCGGCTGTAGATTGGTGGGAGGGCAAATTCCAGGTCAATGCCCACGAGAACTCCCCCATGATCAAAATCAATCAAAACTCAACTTGAGAGCTTGAACTTAAGTATTTGTGTCTCAAGGGTCCCCCAGCGCAAAACAACAGTGGCGACGCTTTTCGAAAGGGGTGTTCTCGTGGGTCCAGTGCAAAAGGAGAAAACCAAGCGCGCTCTTATACGTATGCTCTTGACACAAAACTTGGAAAGAGCCAGAAGATGGGTGCATGTTTGCCCTTTTCATCTTGGCTTACAGGGAAGCCCAAAAGAACACCAACATGTTTGACATCTGAGGCTCAAAATGCCTGCCACGCAAGGTCCACAACCTCTGGCCTCGAACGAACTTAGGAAACCAACAAAGGGTTTGGGTTCCTCTTGGTTTGCCGATCAAACCAAAAGGGTTCCAGCCCAAGAAAAGCTCCCATAGCAGTGACATCAAGTCTCCTCCGTCGCTCTTCAGTTTGCACAAGGCTTGATGTGGGGGTTGATCAATATTCCCTTCGGCCCACAGTTTTGACCATGGGTAACTTTCCCCATGTGGGAAATATCATCTTAGTGGTTTTTCAACCAATGGTCAGCCCATGTATAGGACCTTTTGACCGCATTGTACCCTACCAACATGGAACACTAAGTTGGGTCCCAAGAAAATGGCCCCAACCAACGCCCCGGTCTTGGCAAACAATGGCACCAATCTCAGAGACATGGCTCGGTTTTTGTTGGAATGGTGCCCGTTTTGGCTGACTTCAAAGAGACACCTGATATGGGGGTGTGGTATGACCCTCTAGTGTCAAACTCCTTCCGAAACTGGCAAAACGTTGACAAGGCAGGCAGAAGGCCAAGCAGCCAATAGATTGTCTGGAAAGCTCTCAGATTGAAATCGGCTAATTGTCCAATCACCCTTTTCTCCAAGAAGCATGGAAACGGACAAGGGGACGTTTCAAGAGGAATTGGTGGGCTTTCAAAACCCTGCTCTCCACTTCCATGGTGGAACGAGGGTAGCTGTTGGAATGCTTTTGCTGACCCTTCTGCGCAGTCCAGCAATTCCCACCAATACTAAAGTAAAGCGCCAACATAGTTTGCACAGCACAAAACCTACCGCATCAATTTTGCGGGCCTCCCCAAACCATGCCTGAAGGGGCTTCATTTTGCTTAGTATGTACTCAGTCTGTGCTTAAACCCACCAATACTAAGCCACTATGAAAGCCCAAGTTTTCCCAAGAAATGCGCTTCCCCGAGAATGCACATTTCTCGTTGATGTTTGTTCAACATGACAAGGTGTTCAAGCTCACAAAAGGGACCCGCTTGGAGGCCAGCCCGCCCTCATTGACAGAAAACCCATTGCGATTGACCAGAGCCCTTTGGGGCTCAAAACAAAAAACTCCTGTTGCCATTTCAAGTCATATTGCCCAAAAGGGGCCAAGAAGGCAAGAACCCAAGAGGTTCTCCAGGCTCCTCTTAGTTCACTTAGACGAGAAAAGGCCTGAGGGCTCCAGATTAATCACGGGGGTGGGAGTTTGTCCACACCTTGTTGACCTTGGGGGAGGGGGGTCCCATTTACCAATCAGGGAAAACCATTAGGGGAGCATCGCGCGCCACACATGCCATCTAAACAGTCTCCGTGATTGTGCTTGCAGTATCTGACACGAAATGTCACCTTCACAATACGCAGAGTTTCCGAAATGTGCGTGCACAAAGTAGCAACCATTAGCAACCCCCTGGTTTTGATTCTGTGTTGTTCAATCCGGGCCGATTGAAATCCTCAACATGACCATCTACATGGTAGTTCGGGCACTCCCGCAAAAATGGAAAAGTACTCATAATCTTGAGATCCCATGTTTAAACAGTTTGAAGCACACCCCTCAAAAAAGAAGACATACTTCTGAGATTCCAAATGCTCATGTTGAAGGGTCAATAGTCGTGTTTGCCAATGTTCAACCTTAATCCTAGGATAGCATCTGTACTTGCATCATCATTTTAGTCAAGGGCAAACCATATACGGGGGTTGATCAATATTCCTGGCCCACAAACGACCAACGAACTTTCCCCATGTGGTTGAAATATCAAACCTCTTTTGGTGGTTTCCCTGATGGTCATCCAAGTCATACCATGTTCATGGGACCAACTCCCATATCCAAACAGTCCCAACTGCTGACCCACTCGGCGGCAAGGCCCCTGCCTGAGCTTGAGGCAGCCTCAGTCCCCACCAACGTCGGTTTTCGTCGAGTGTGCCCCGCAGCGTCCCACCCAAGCTTCCATTTTCAGGTTCCCCTTCATGTTGACCCCACATTAACCAACCCCAGCTTACCCCCCCCCCCCCCCCCCGCCCAAGTAATAAACTGGGGTTGATTTCTATGGGGTCAACATTTGATGGTTTGGACTGGTTTGGGATTTCAACGGATCCCTGTTCTGAAAAAGTACATGTTGAAAGCCCTTCTTAACCACCAAACCACAAATCCACCACCTAGAGGGGCGCTGAGTTTTGCTTAAGTCCCCTGGGAAAATGTAAACACACAATTCAGTGATAGTTTGTTGTTGAAACCAGGGAAAGACCTGAAAGACCAACTTGAGTAAATGGAAGCAATCTGCAAACTGTGCAAGTCTAAAACCCAAAAGCAAGCACACGCGGGAGGGATCAACCATTTCCAAAAAACTCGCAATAAGAGATCCCTAAGTAAAGGACCTACATCGCAGCTCGTTTTCCTATTGGATATGTAGATGAGCTTGATACTTGTGCAAATATGATTCAAGCCTCCCAGTTCCACTCCTGTTTGTCCCCAGGATAAGACGCTAACAAGACGAGAAGAAACGCTCTATTTAGAGGAAAACGGGGAACACAGTTGGACTGTCGATTGAAAAAAGCGTGCTTCCATCTGAGAGGCAACTCAAAATTCAGTCTGATGGTGTGAGGAATCTTGTTGAAAGCCTATAGAAATGATCACAAACGATGGGTCGATAATGTGAAAACATATGCTCCCAGCAATCCCTGCTACCACGTCCTACAATAACTGCCACAAAGGGTAACGTGTGATGGCTTCATCCAGTGTGTGAATGCAGCGGGAATTCATGGGAATTCCATATGAGGGAACCCCCGCAGGTTCTGCACGGGAATCACCACTGAGTGAAGCCTGATATTGTGGACCTGGAATCAGCCAGGTTGCTTGGCGGTGGGATTCTGCAGAATCGAGTTCTCACACTAACCCCGATTTGTTGACATTGCGCGCTTGCCGACGACCAATGACCAGGGCGTTCCTCCAAGGCTGAAAATGATTGCCCAAAATGGCAAAGCTTTTGTTGGTTGGAGTGGACACCCAAAGCGCTTCAAAACTGGACAACGGGCGTATGAAGGATCGGTGCAGCTGGTGTTGTCCCCTGCTTGCCACATGTTCGGACCCCTGCAGCCAACGCTCCAGAACAAATAGTATGCATGCCGGAATGGGATTCCCCCTGTCTTTCTTCCTTTCTGCCTCTCATCATGGATACACAACGATGACAGAGGAACACATGGCACTAAACATGTGCAACATGCAAGCTGTTTTTTCTGCCTTTTTGAACTCCGTTGCTGGTTCCGGAGGGGTCTCCGAACCTCAAAACGTTTGTCTTGCCGACTCCACTTAGGCATCCTCTGAGGCTTTGGGGTGGATGCCGAAGCCGTCGACTCAAACATTACTCAAAGGGCAATGATACAAGTACTGGCCAAAAATGGAACGTGGGTTAGACTAAAACCTGCGGTCCCATGGCTCTTACAACTTTGAGCCACATCCAACTAGCTTGGCATTTTCTCATTAGCTTGGAAGTGTGTCTCACAAAAAATGGGGCAGGCGGAAGATCCAAAAGCATCTCGGAGGCTTTTCCCCCGACTCGACTTGAGCCGAGGCGACCGCCTGGCTGTCCTGGGCCTCTGGCGCCTGGCCGGAGAGTTTCCTACCCGCCCTCCCACTAACATGGCACCAAACAGGTCCCTTCAAGAGGAATTTGGTCTTCCAGGTTGTACGTGGGTTATACAGGGTGGATCCTACATAAGGCTCTTTCGGGTGTTGGCCAATAGAAATACCATCAGCTTGCCCATGGTTTGCACACCAATCTCCTGTTGGGTGTAGCCTTTCTGGGCATTGGCCTTTCTTAGGCTCCGTTTAGCATGTTTAATGGGCCCTTGGGTGGCCGACAGAAAATAAGACTGGCAATATCATCTGGGTCAATGATCCACAATATGTATGGTCACTTGTCATCATATGGTGCTAACAGCATTGGATTGATCTAAGGCATTGAATGCACACTGTGTGATTGACTGGTGATATTCCATTCACCACACAGCCACACAATGAATGGAAACCCATTTTTTTCAAATGGGAGAGAATCTGGCAATTTTGAGCAGTGGCCTATCTGAGCCTGAGATGCCTTCAAATACATGCCGAGGGCTGGTTGCCCAGACTTTAAATTTTAAATGTGCAAAACGGAACAGCTAAGCTACGCCATGTCCTCTGCCCCTTTAGCGAAAGACCTGCAAAACACCGCAGATGCTGCGAGGATAAAATGCCTGAAGTGCAGCTGCCTTCACATCAATACATGTCATGTCATCTTAATCCTTGCAGAATTCCGCAATAGTATGACACAGGACATCAAATACAACGGGCCCAGAGTGGCTGTCCATTGTCTTCGAGCAGGGCTCGGGAGTGTCAGTTCGCAGAAAACGCCGCATGTGAAGGCTCCACTGCGCCCCGAATTAGTTACCACAAGTCGTGTTGCCGGCCATACAGTCCGGTGAACGCGAACGCTTTGGCGTGTAGGGAAGTGTGGCCTCCGGCGAGTTCCGCGTGAACCTGCGGTGCTCTTCCCATGGGAACAAAGGGGCACCCCTTCGGTCCACTTCATTCCTCGAAGTTTGGAGCCCGGTGGTTTGGAGGTGAAACGGGGTGGCTTCTCATTTACTCTCTGCAAGAAGGGCTTCAAATACAAATCTGGGGTTGATTCAGTCTAGGGAAATCCTGAGCTCAGGGCGAATCGGCACCCTCTGTTTGACTTGAAAGAGAAACCCTCCCGAAGAAATGCACACGTGTCAGGTGCTGGCCTGGTCGCTGGAAGCCAT